TGATGTTTAATGCAAACATCCTTTTCAGAGATAAATTAATTACAATACAAATTTTACATTTTGAAAATGATTTTCTAGCCTTATGCTTTGTACATATATTGCAAAAAATAAATTGCACAAAATAGTTGCGCTCCTATCATATTAATGTGTAAAGAGCTGGTGATCTTTTCCCTTTATGTTCAGGTGGAATTTGAGGACGGTTCTCAGGTGCTGGCAAAAAGAGAAGATGTCTATACCTTAAACGAAGACCTGCCTAAAAAGGTGAAACGTAGACTTGTAAGTATTAGACTTACTGGGCAGCAGAAACTGTAAAGCACACGTTTGACATGGTTAGAATTTATCTCCCACCTGGAGGGATTTCTTGCTTACTCATTCGGTGTTTTCTCATGTCTCATTTTTGCAGTCCACGGCCTCAAGCATGCGTTTCCAGGACGCCTTCTTCACCACGCAGGGGGAGAGGAAAAGACAAAGAACGCCTAATTCACGTTTCCAGAACGACTATGTGGCCCTGCCAGGCCTCCGTACAACTGCCAAAAGCACATGGGAGCAGCGCAGCCACAAAGGGAAATGAAGTCATGGAGAAGGATCGATGACAAATGAATGCTCTGAATTACCAGTGGATGTGGAGGGAGGCTGTTGGGTTGTGTGTGTGTGTGTGTGAGAGAGAGTGTGTGTGAGAGGATGCTCGCGTGTTGGTATTTTGGACTTTCATCTCAACTAAATGCCCAAACAACTTCCCTGCAACTAGAGGAACAGAGGAAACAACGTTATGGGAATGGGAGATTTGTGTGAGATGGATGATAACTTGCTTGTACATTATACGTCAGTGATTGGTGATGGGACAGCTGGACTCTCATAGAACAGGATAACGGAGGACATTGTCGCCTCAGTTGCCTATTGCTTTTACATCCGTCAGGGAAAATAAACGTGATTTACAATTGTCACATCACCCTTTTTGGAAATAAATGACACTTTTTTTCTTTGTACATGAAAAATTTAAATGTGAGGTTTTTCTAAATAGCCTGCCGATGGTAGCTTTTTGGGGTTATGTTATTATTGTTTTAAATAGTCATGCACTTTGCTTGTATTTTCCTCATGTCTCACTGTTTCTGATCGCATGTTAAACATCGTCTCCTAACTGCTCCTGCTGGAGGCCAGTGACACTACAATGGCTTCCCCTCTGTCTGTTTTTCATCGTTATGGACAAACTATGAAATGGATAAGCAAAATATAGAATTGACAACATTTTAAACCCTTCATAAGGGGACGGGTTCAGACGGGAAGCCATGCCTTGGGATTGGATTCTGTGCACTATTAACGTGAAATGCTACTGTTGCTCTGTTAAATGAAACACTTGTTGAAATAATTTAAATTTGTATTTATTTTTGGCTTGCTATAGTTAAAATATTGCTAACTGCTGTAAGGAAAATAAATAAAAAATGACTTGTTTTCTTATGAAATTGTCAACTTATTTCCACTAAGGGGGCATTTGCATTGCAGCAGCTGTGAAAAAGGCGGTTTATGTGTCTCTAAAGACATTTCGGTTATACAAAATGAGATGCTTATAATGGAAATTGGAACAATATATTTTAACAATAAATTGTGACATTTTATCCATTATAGATCATGTTAAGGATAAAATAAGTTTGAAAAGTGAATGAAAGATAATGGTAATAATAAAACTCCGTGATCATAGCTACCAGTAAAAGTCTGCCTTGGACCTAAGGATATAAGGCATATTGTTTCCAGCTGATTTGTAGGAACCTGGCAGGAAGTAAAATCCAGGAGGTATCTTAAGTAGTCATGGCGAGGCTGCTAAAAGTGTTGTACTCCCATGGATACCACGTCACAGCCTGCTTCAGACTGATGTAGAAGCCAAACGAATAAATGGTTCTTGAGGAAAATGCAAAACAAACACGAGATTGTATTCCCCTAAAAGCAAATCAATGATTTTCAAGTCGTTTATTGTGAGCATTGCCTCGACGTGCCTTCAATTACAATAACATTACTATACTTTTAAGAAACTTCTATTCAAGCAGAGATGGCAGTACACACATCCTTTACTTAAGTAGAAGTACGGATACTCATGTTTAAAAATACTCTGGTAGAAGTACTGACTACACTTCTTTACTCAAGTAAAAGTAAAAAAGTATGGGCTTCAAAATGTGCTTGAGTAAAAAGGACTCATAACTACCAGTTGTTTCAGTAACTGGTAACTGAACCTCACTTTATATTAATAGAACATTAAAGGTCTTCTATTTCAAATTGTAATTTGGTCATTGTTAGCTAATGAACAACACTGAACACTGAACAACAATTTAGAACACAAGCAAAGACAAACAAAGTGGGGAAATAAATGCCTATATTGTAGATTCTAGGGTGACTACCTCTTCCTTGGAAACAACACAACAATTATTATGTAAAAACATTTACATTTTATATAGGGGGGAACCTTATCAAAAATGTCATTTTTTATATAAGGGGGACACATTCATTGATGAATGATATATTAAGTTAAGATTACCACAAGCTACCCAGCAGTATGTCAAAAATAAATTAACTTAATTAATAGCGGCCCTATTAAAGTGAGGTATGCATTAATGATAATAATATCAAATACAGTATTCTGAAATGTGACATGTATTCTGGATACTTCAATCACATGTTGTTGCTAATACTTGGTTTTGTAGTGTATCACCTTTTAACAGAGTAGCAATACTGTGGTATTAGTGAGAACAATTAAATAACAAAGTGAATACTTCTCCCACCACTTGCCACCCAGCAGTCTTTTCTGTAGCTCTTATTGCAATACATTGATTTATCTAGTTAAGTATTTTTCTTAGCAAAGCTTTGTCTGTGTAATTGTATGTGCAACAATGCAGTATTTAGAACAGGAGGTTGAATATGGCTGCTTTACTTTGCCTGCTATTATCATTCAGTGATTTGTTTCTCATTTAAATTGTAATTGAGGACCGTCAAACGTAATTTGCTCTATGTGTCTATCACAAAAGCAACGTTTGTCCCTGAGCTTCAACAAAAAGGATGCGTTTCCTGTACTTCATATAGAATGAAGCACCATTGGATCATGATTGAAACAAAGTTGCAAAACGTATTGCTCTGAAAGTGAAAACAGTCTCATGGAGGAAATGTTGCAGTGTTGAGAACTGAGCTAATGACACAGCTCATGGAAACAGAGATTCAGAAGCTTCAACAGGGAGTAGACGACTGATCTGAAACGCTCTGCTCGAAGCCCAGAAGCAAGAAGCTCTCTGGATGAGGCGTTGGAAGATCATTTGCTGAGCCTTTACGATGACAAGACTTACATGAATGAGAAAGGCCCTTTCAGCAGCAACTTTCCACTCACTGCAGACTGGAGCCTCCATCTGTTTTCCAATATGGATTCATCAAGTTTTTAGCGATGCAAGAAGCCCTGTGAGGCTGGAACGCTCATTACACTGCCAACAAAAAGTTTCAGAAAAAACTCTGGATGATGCTGGAATAAAATGAGAGACAAATAGAGCAGCTATTTTTAGTAACATTTTCATTCTCGTTCTTAACTGAACCACTGAAACTGCACTTTTACAGGAGGTAAAAACACACAAAGCTGCCGAAGAGAAATTCCTTTCCTTTCTATAATGATATAATAAACAAATCAACGTACAGATGTTTTCACAAAGGAAGGTTCTTCTCCATTATGCCACCTTTTTTAATGACATATTGACATGACTTTTAATGACATTTTCATGACAAAATAAATACTACAGTATGTCATGACATATTTTGTGACATTCTGTATTATGACCTTTTATGATTTCTTTGATATTCTATAATGTGACTTCAGTATGGAATTGTATCTTACATACTTTCACACAAATACAAAAAAGGCTTGTTTTTCATTTTTGATGGATCTCCAGCCAGTTTAAAGTCTAAGCTAGTCAGTTTTGATATATGTATGTACACTATAATATACATATATATATATATATATATCAGTGATTCCCGCAGAAATGAAATATACTTTGGGGGAACGACTCGGGGTGGGGTCGGGTGGGTGGGGGGTGCGTGAAAAAAAATCTCCTCAGAAATCTCTCAAAAATTTAGGAGCGGGGCTAGTCCTGGTGGGCTACCCAGGCTGAGTGACAAGGTGGCATCCAGGAAACTGAAATTTGCAGGTCACTGCCATCGACACCAGGAACTTCCAGCTGGCAAGTTAGTACTCTGGGAGCCAACACACGGGCACCGACCAAGAGGGCGCCCCACGCCAACATACGTGGAGGTGCTGAGGAAGGATGTGGGGGTGGAAAGCTCCACAGAGCTGGCCGGGTGTATGGAGGACCGTGAGGATTGGTGAACCCGTTGGCAAACTCGTCTAAGGACGACCTAGTAGTAGTAGTCCTTGATTGGCTCAAGTTCACACCTTTTTAGGGGCGGGGCTAGTGATGTTGTCCCGGGGATGCTTAGGAGTTGATAAAGGAGATAATCCCACTGACGTCATCATTTGATTCCAAAAGTGGGTCTGGACTCGCGCCCATAGAGGCTGTTTACCAGTATAATGGCTCCCCCCAAAGTATAATTTATGGGTGGCTCCCCCCAAAGTATAATTTATGGTTTTTTAAGTTTTTTTTACTCACTGAGCACTCATTGCCACCAATGCAAATGCAAATGAGTGCTCACTGAGTAAAAAAAAAAAAAACCATAAATTATACTTTGGGGGGAGCCATTATACTTTGGGGGCCCCCCAAAGTATTAACATGCTGTGGGAATCACTGTATATATATATATATATATATATATATAAGATAAATTATATTTTGTTATCCTTTTAAACAACATAACAAATACAATTCTTGCCCTAATTTTATCGATAAATCATTGAAGTAGAAGTCTGCTTTACATTTTTATTTTATTTTTTAACATAATTATAGAATCTTCTGTTTTGGGATTTTCATTATTCTAACACATTTTTAGACGTTTTATTATTAAAAACGACAGCAGTAGCAGTTATTTCACTTGAGTTTATTTGTAACAAATGAAACTTGTGTCGACAGAGAACAGAAATCCAAACAGAACTGTTTTTCGGTTTTCACGCGCTCCGAGAACCAATGTAAGAAAATAAAAAGCACTTGTTGACTCGGAGCAGAAAACAAAACAAAAAAATAACTTTACATTTACAGACCAATTAGAGGTAATTGGTCCAAGTAACACACCATATTTTCGTTTTTATACAATTTATAAACTCCAGTTTTATCCATCTACATGATACATTTGGGGGAGGGGATAAAATAGAACACTTCTTTGTGAAACTTCTCTTTTGTGTTACAACAAATCCACAATGTGATGTATCACACATACTGCTGTGCCATAAACTGTGATTTCAGGTGCATCCTTTTAATATATCACTATCTGATACATTCTTATTCACTCTTCACCTTATTCATTATCTATTTATTAATTAATTTATGCAATATTCAATTTCTCTCTGTGATTTGTGTTATTTACATATACACAACCATGTGAGCATTACAGGGTCCATCTTTACTGAGTTCAAGTAAAACTCCTTTGGGAGGGGGAGGGGCTTTCAGAGATAATAGGATACTAGTATTAGTGCATAGTACAAAGAGAGAAAGTGCAAGTCTTCCCATAACAGGTGTGACCAAAGGGGCATCTCAAAAGTGGTACCATGCATACAAAACGACAACAGGGTTACTTTAAGAGGGTGAACAACTGTCAACGATCTCTTAGCCTATATGGTGAAGCGTTAAAGAGCATACAAAAAAAGAAGATGATGTGGGTTTTGTGTTGTTGGAGATGTAGCACCTGATCTTCTTTCAGCCTTTGTCATTAAAGGAAACAAATAACTGTAGACATCAGAATGAGGAAAAAAGCTGCGCAGTTTGACTTATTGTAAGTTTAGGGCTTCGGGTGGGATAGGGTGAAATCTTTGTTATTGAACCTTTTCTCCAAACTGACAAAGATTGCCACTGCCTTTCAGCTTGTTATAGATTTCTAAATAGCTGAGGAAGTATGACTTCTCTCAGCCAGCTCACAGTCGGTGCCAAAGTCGCCAGTATGGCCAACATTTCATAGCAGCCAAACTGAAGTCGGATGAAAGGAAAACACACACAACGTTTCTGCAAGTGTCCCAGGAAAGAAAAGACGGAAAGCTGTTGAAATACAAACTTTTCTTCTGTCCAAAATGATCATCCTGCTCATAACCTATTTTGAAACCACATTTTTAGTGTCTTTAGTTAAGTCTCATGTAAGATATTCTTTAAGATTTGAAGAGATATGATATTATTGTTGCTGGGTTGAAATTGATGAGTACAACTATCCAGCCCACACAGAGCCTTCCATACAACATTTCACAGCCAACAACAGATCACACTTTGACACACCGTAACATAACAAAATAATATACACCGACATTCAGGTCACATACGCACGAGCATACATACATAAAGTACACAAACAAACCCTTTAAAGTAACTTTATCAAAATAGGCGTGTAATATAAGGCACTATAAATCTAAAATCAAAATACTTATTAGATGCTGTTTGAAGTATGAGTTCGATCATTCGTTGGTTGCCGTGACACACAGAAGGATGACATCATCTACTGGAGTTGTGACATAATAAAAGATCTACTTCCTAAGAGGTCAGTGGTGGACCCTCTGTTTGGACACATTTAAACGGTGGCGAGAATAATATCAAGCGTAACATCTTTGTGTCTCGAAAATGATGCACCATCATCATCAATATCATCGTCATCATAATGGCATATAACTGCAGTTAGTGACTTGACACAAAAATATATTACATCTACTTATTGCACACTGAATCAGACAGAGAGAAAAATCATAAGTGAGCATTCCAGTGAGAAAATTGTTCCTTCCCTGAGCCCCCCCCCCCCTAGACCCCGCCCCCATTATTCTACATCCCTTTCGTGCTCCCTGCTTGAGAAATCTTTGTGAAGCTTATTTGGACACATAAATATTTTTTAATACTATTCTTTCTGTGCATACTCTCTGTAGTTCTATCTGGCTTCCTCTGAACGTGCACACAGAACAACTTGGCGAGTTTATTCTCGGGACGTCCTGGCATCAGCATGTTGCACCTCTGTCGGCCCCTGGGAATTCTTCTCTGACACCACAGGCCAGATAGAAATGAGGTTGAGAGTCCCGTGTGCATGCGAAACGCGTGTGTGGTCAGAAACAGAGTGGATAGAGAATACAGGAGTGACACTCAATGGTGGTGTTTCCATAGAATTGTGAACATTTTCCACACTAGTTTTGATTGTACACTTTAAAACAGTACTGTATTACTTAAAAAAAGCTACAGCTCATTGGATTACACAGATAAAGAAATACAACTTTGCTTTTCGTATGGTCAGTGGGGACAAATTCAGAAATCTGTAAAAACAAAACAAAAACGTGCCATAAAGTAAAAAAACAACCCAACATAGTCACATATCTATATATTTTTCTAAAAAACTAAATCAACTTTTTACTTTGTGGTATGCATTTGAAACCGCTTTCAAGTTTCCCTTATCTTTAACCGTGAAGCATAAGGTTGAACTGGTGGTTTTTATTACTGTATGGTAGAAATATCTTCTTTTTCCTTCAAAAGAAACAAGAGTCTGTTTCCAAAACAAAACAGAAAAAAACACTTCTTGGTGCCTCTTTTTGGGATGTGTGTTCTTTGTCTTTTTAATTCTGTGTGCTCTGTGTTTTCAGTCTCCTGTTGACAATTCTCTGGTGCTCAAAAGTCCCAGTTCATTCAGTCCACAAGGCTTCCATAACATGGATTTGTAGACTCCCTCTAGACAGTCCTCAAAATAGAAAAATCTAAATTTCCTGTGACAGCTAAATACTGTAGCCGGTTCCTATATTTAGGTTGGTGATGCTACACTGGTGGTGGACGAGGTGAGAGTTCCACACCCAAACAATGTAAAGCAATCTGGGTGCTCACAAAAGCACTGAAACAAATAGAAAAAAATATTTGATCAAGTATTCTGATTGGAACAGTGGTTGAAGTTGCTTCTTCGGACTGACCAATGGGTGTGTTTGGGCTGAGGGTGCAAGGAAACACCCTTGTCAAGCAGGTTGCTATGGCTCAGTAAGAGGTGCTGTTTCTGGGTACGGGATAAGCCGATGGTCCCCCTTCACTCTGCATGTGGTGGCAAAAATCTTCATAGACACATCGCAGCCTAGTGCATTAAATCAGGCCGCATGTGACCTAAGAAAAGTGCACTGGGTGGGATGTGGCATGTGAGAGATGACCACTCGGGTTTATGTTGCATAGTGATCAAAGCTTCCCAGGTACTCCAGACTGGCCCGGTAGCAGAACTGGTACTGGTCCTGGAGGGAGGAAGAATAATGTAAAGTCAGTGACAGAAAAAAAAGAGTGTTAAGAGAAAATGGGCATGATATAGCAGGGAAACAGAAGGATAACAGCGTGGGAGCTCACCTCTGTCTGAACGGTGGCTGGTCTCTGGGTGCGCAGCATCTTGACGGTCTGGAAAATGTCCACCACCCCCTCGTACCTCATCCTCTCCAGCACGATGCTGAGGGTGATGAAAACACCGGTCCTCCCTACTCCAGCACTGTGGGCGGACAGATGGAAACATATTGAGAGCTGGATATATTTGGAACTGTTAAACCTGTCGTCATGCATAATAGACCGAAGTGCCATGTTCACAATCCTATATACTGTAGATGTTCCTCTCAACGGCTATGTTAGCAGTTACGTCATTCAGATAAATACTACAGAGATCACATGTACATATGGGTGATAGATTAAAGTAAAAAAAACAGCACTAAGTATCTTAGTAAGATCTTAGGCCACCACAAATCTCTGAGCTCAACTGAAAACATGAAAACCAATCTTTAAAACATATGATCCCTCATTTGGTGCTTTTATGATAGTAGTGAAAAGTGCTTTTTCAGGCATAAAAAGTCAGTTATGTGAGATAATTCATGTTATTTTCATTCTTCAGCATTTGTTATGTTACTCCCCTTAATAAATTAGGTTTTTTCTTTAATTTGTCACTCCTTGATCTGTGTATAAAATAAAGGGGTTAATACGAGGAATGGGACTTACCTGCAGTGCACAGTAATTGGCCCATCCTGACCAAACTGTTCTTTAGTTTTGTGCACCTGGCCAATGAAATCAATGAATCCCTCCCCTGACTTTGGCACTCCTTGCTCTGGCCAATCAGTAAACTGGAACTGACGAACTGTCCGCGATTGGCCGTCCTGGAGGAAGAGAATGTGTTTGATTATTTTGAATCACAGAAATAATGTAAAAGCAGTACACATGATGTCTTTTACCCACATGAACACAGACAAACCAATTACTTACCCTGGCGTCAGTGACTTTGAACTCTCGGAGGATGTACTGGGGCATGTTGTACTCAGCCATGGGATCCACCACAAAGTACTGGTACCTGGCGGAGCGCTCTGCGGGCCAGTACTGGTGACATTTCTCCTGCAGGAGGACAGCACAGAGCTGTACATCATGTCTGAGGGATTCACTTCATTCACGTGAGAGGAACAATTTCTGGATACTTCGTCATGAAAATGTCTTCCTGACTGAAATTCATTATTCACTTGGAGATAGTCTTGTGCCAGATGAGATATGATGTCCATGAGATATAAGTCAGACAATTATCTCTTTCACACTCCATCACTGTGTTGCTTGCATTTTTAACGCTCCATATGCTGTTTTTAATAGTTATGACTATAATTTTTTATTATTTTCAGATGTATGTATAAAAATAGCTGCCTATTATATCCACCCTAACAACTGTTCCCTGTATACTTGATTACACAATAATGTGTGTCTGTGTATTTGCATTAGTATTCGTACCCGTCCCATTTCTCTCAGTTTGGTTAGCATGACAACGATGGTGGAGTTGTGTTCCCACAGCATCCTCCAGTAGTCCTCTGTGGTCTCAGCCAGCGGGCCTTGGGTTGCTATGTAGGCCTTCTGCTGCCTAAAAACACAAATAGGTAAATTAAATACTTAACAATGCATATTGTGGGGCAGATTTGACAAAACACTGATAACCGTAACTGAATAAACTAATGCCATGCCTGAAATAAAAGTCAACAGTAACATTGGAAACAATAGTTCGGATCAGTTTATTCTGACCTGTATCCGTCGATGAAGCTGGCGTTGATGTAGTCAGATCCCTCCACTCCTCTGATTGGCTGCAGACACACACGTGTGGTCTCGTAGGGCATGATGTTCACCAGCCGGTTCTTGAACTTGTTGCATGGCAGGTTGGCACTCACAAACCGAGATGTGTGGGCCTTGGCACTGGCCAGACGCTGAAACAAAATCAATATTTTACAATATAAAATTGACTGACATATGAAGAAACTTTCACAGGTACCTTGATAGTGATCTCAGAAGTCGTGTAGTATTGGTAGAAAACAAGAAAAGCAATATGGGGAACAATGGAAACAAGGAAGGATGAATTAAAGGAAGGAGGAAAGTTTAAAAAAATGTGTGGATTCAGATATATTTAGCACAAGCCCTGTTTCCCGCAGGCATACTGGACAAGTGAGATTAGAAAATCAGCTTGACTTGGCAGGCCTGAGGATACTTAGTCAGACGTCTTTCATTGAATAAACAAAAGATAAGGATTGGGAGAAGAAAATATAATACAATGAACTAGAGGAGGAAGAAGGGCAGGAAACCACAAGGCCCCACACTGTCTCAACACACATATGTGAACCACAGTTGATCCTTCACTAGCGAAGGGGGACACACTGGAACACACACATTTGTATGGATACGTGCAGACAGCCAGACGTTAGCACACACTCTACACTCTCGCTCACACTCGACCATTGGATGACATTAAAAGGAATATAGAAAAGGAAAGACAGAACAACAGTGAATAGGCAGCAGGGAAACCGCAGACTCGTAGGGGGAAACAATGGGGTCTCATGAACTGAGCCTCGACCATCGCTGGCTACCGGAGCGCTGTGGGAGAAACAGCAGAAACCTATTTTCTTACAGACAGACCAAGCTGGAAAATCCCAGAGAAACCACAAGTTCACCAGTTCATTTTGGTAGTCTGTACCGAAGGTTCCAGTGCCAACAATAGTAATTCTTCTTTTGATTTTATTTCAATTTGACTGAATCTTATCAATAAAGTCTGGCACTGACAAAACATTTGTGTTTCTTTTACACATGGCCATTATATTTACCATCTGTTAAACTTGGATGAAATCATGCCCCGCTGGCAACCTCTTTAACCTCCATAGCAAACTCAGTGAAAGGAAACAAAAACAGTGTGTCTACAGTAATAGGGTGCTGGATTACCAAAAGCTGCCAAAAAAGCTTAAAATTGTTATTTTCTCACACATGCTTTAACTTTCTTTTATTTGAGGAACACATTGCTCCTCCGTGAGAAATTCCATCCATTTTGTGTTTGGTTGATGAGGTTGGAAAGTTCAGTTTCTGTCTTGTAAATGTAAATGTATGCTAATGACTGGGACACCACTGGCTCATGTTTGAGAACAATATAAAGCTGAGCAAACAGTTGAGCCCACAGTTCATTGTCTTTCGGAGGAGGCTGCTGCCATTAGAACAGGAAAGCCAGAGCAAAGGATGAAGGAGATTGCCCAGAGTGGCTTTGTGTTTACTTTGCCCTCTGAGCGTCAGAGCAGACATAAGCCATTCCAGGAAAATAAAATCCACCTGCTTTCAATATATGTTTGTATGGCTAAATATTCTATTCACCAGCAAAACCAGACAGTTCTGCTGAAAACTCGTCTGGCGAGAGGTAAATATCACAGAATAAAGTGAAAATACCACTACTCAATAACACTCCCTTGTTGCACTCACTCTTCTTGCTTGTGTATCGATGAATGTGTTCTGTGTTCTCACTTTAAATTCTTATCAGCTTCATAAATGCTTGAAAGCAGCCGTATGTCATTTTATTTTAAACTGCAACTTCCTGCCCTACATAATTAAGTATTTCTGTAGCCATCACATGTCCAAAATGACTATGCTCTCTTAAATCCTCAGCAGAACTCTCTTACCTTAGATTCAAACGGTGCAATCCCATAATCCCCTTCAAATCCAACTATCCATCCTGGGTATATGAAACTCTCAGAGGGGGAATGCTAAAAGCCCTGGGAAAGGCGCTCAGTGACTATCAAGGTCAGGAACTGCAGGTTGATAAATACTGTATGTCCCTGTGGAGAAGCTTGCTCTCAAACTGAGAGAACCACCTTCTCATGTGAACGTGTCCAGCAAAAAGGCCTTTTTGACTCCTCCCAGTAGGAAACACACAGGTGTAAATAAAATGAAAGACTCCATTATCAAAAAACGTACTTTTACTACACTTGGGTGAATCTGATCTAACCAAATCACCAAACGTCAATGTAGTCTGGTGGCTTTGAAGAGAGCATAGATTATGGCTTCAGTTCCCAGTCAGGAAGGGCTGTCTGACGGTGAGATCAAGCGATACAAATATTCTAAATACAGCATATAGTATATACTCAAAATGATATTTATCTTTTAGGTGGGCCTTTGTTTTAGGTGTCCAAAACATATCCACACACAGCAGTAGATTGCTTGCTTCTGTGTAGCTACTCCTGTCAGTTTTTCCAAACTGGTGGCTAGCCGACAGCCTACTGTAGGTAAAACACTGACTATGGATAAGTACCTCATAAAACCTCCTTTCAAAACAAAACTATTCCATTAACAACCTCCACACCTTGTTTTTCAGTATCCAGACCAAAACCCCATCTTCATGCCTTTGATGTTTTATATATCAAACACAGTCTGACAGCATGAAGAGAGCCCATCTGTAGACCCTGGTTTATTCTTAAGTGTGAGAAAGGACTGAATATCTACAGAACAAAATTCAGTGGAGCTATTGTGCAGCTTTACCCTTTGTTTGGCCTTATATGTAGTGAGGGGCAAGACAAAGCTGACTCTCTCTCTAGAGACCAGTGGAGTGTCACATCGTAATTTTTCATCGGTTTTATGAACCATCATAAATCAGTTGGACCAAATTTGACAACTTTCAAGGACATGCTGATGAGTGCTCACCTTGAACTCCACCTCCATGCCGGTGACATTCTCTCCTGGTTCGATCTGCGTCAGCCTCTGGATGTAGGAGTACAGGTTCCTGGCCGGGACCTCCGTGTTCCCGCAGGTCACGGCCTCCAGCAATGCGTCATGAATGAAGATGTACTGATCCTCCGTCTGGACCATGTAGTTCCTCTGGGAGCGCATCAGCGTGACATGGCCGTAGATGTCGAGGGTCTTCTCATGCTTGATCCTCTCGGCCATGCCGTCGATTACTATGAAGCAACCTGTGCGACCCACTCCAGCACTGAGCCAAAACGAGGGGGGGAGAAAAACAGGGAACACATGGTGATGCTATACTCTCAACAACCTATGGGAGATAAATTGTTAGTGCTATGCCTTCAAATTCGGTCCAAATCTAGTCCTGTTGCATATTGCAAAAGCAATAACATACTGTGCCTAAATCTACTAAGTATCACAAAGATGCCAGCAAGCAATATTTCCAACAAAGGACGTAAAAACTGACATCAGCGATGAGTCAGCATCACCGTCTGACTGGCATTAGGTAGATATCCTCTCCTATCGACATACAATCCAGAAATATAATACATTTAGCTGCCCACCCAAACACTTCACATTTATGCTGTGCAAGTCCCTAAATGTTGAAACAGCCTGACCAAGCAACTTCCTGCAAGCGAATAAAAACCTCTTTATATGGTTAAATTAATATCAGTGTGTATGTGCACGCTGGCTTGTGTGTGTTGTTCAGGTGAAATGAGATTTGGTCCATTGTTTGATACAGAGGCTGGTTCATGTTAAGGCACATTATGATGGAGTCTTTCCGGGATAATTACATTTGACTGATAATCCTGTTAGATACTCCATCTGACTGCTACGGAAGATTAGGAAGAGCTCCTCTCCTGCCAACCTTTTCAACCCCCTCCCCTCCACCCCCTCCCCTCATCTCTCTTTATCTTCTCTCCAAGTACCCTTACAACACTCTCACACCCGCCCCACCACGTTTTCACTCTCGCATTTTTTTTTAGACTCCATTTTCTCTCCACCTTTCCCTTTCTTTAATTCATCATTTCCATTCACTGTCCTGGATTTGACCTCACCTTCTCTCTCATGCTGCACATATCTCCTCCTTTAACTCCCAGGAGCCAACTCTCCCTCTAAATCATTCCTCCATCCCCCTTTCTTCACTCTCTTTTCCTCCTTCCACCATCTTTACCTCACTAATTCTCCCTCCCAAGAGCTTCTGCTCCATATTCTCTCCCTCTGCTACCCACTATCTTCTCTTCTTCACTCCCTGGTAGAGCAAGCAGGACTTGGGCCGAGCTCTGAAGATCAACATTGTGCCGAGAATGCAATGACAGGTGGACAGATTTATTTCTCCAAGCAGCATGTGAGCCTCCTGCTGCTGAGACGGCAGCTCATTTGAATATAAACTTATGAACCCAGATCTACCACCAGCTTAAACTGTAAATAGCGAACACTAAAAGCTACTTATGGAAAAGAGGGTAAGCATGGCGGCCGCTGTTGTTGTAAAGTGAGGTTGTTAAGTGCGGAATGTGGGTGTCTAAGCCACTGAGGATGGTTTGGGGTTTTCATAATGGCAGGTCAATCTCATTTCAGCTCAGGACCTATGAATGATTGTATACAAGTGTTCTTGGACTCTTTTTGAATTTCACAGACTCCTGGGGATACAAAAGAATGACGTTGCCAAGTAAAACCCAAAATAACACATAAGTGTTTCATGAAAGCCCACACACACACAATCAAGGACCAAATGGAATTTATTTTTGGTCATGGACCACTTTTCTTGGGGATTTTAAGAATGCTTTTAGTACAGTAAAATATATGACATTTTTAAAGTTAGTCATTAGAAAAACACAAGCACTGAGTAAAGACACACACACACACACACACACACACACACACACACACACACACACACACACACACACACACACACACACACACACACACACACACACACACACACACACACACACACACACACACACACACACACACACACACACACACACACACACACACACACACACACACACACACACACACACACACACACACACACACACACACACCTGCAGTGGACGACCATGGGACCCGCATCTGGTGGGTTGCAGGCCTTGACCCTGCGTAGGAAGGCCAGGAAGGGGGTGGGATGTTCAGGTACCCCGTGGTCTGGCCAGGCGGTAAACTGGAAGTGACGAACCTCACGTTTCTCATTGAAGCCGCTCTGTCAAAAACGTTTAAGATAAAGCTGGAATAACTCTATATTTATGTTGTTGTTTACAAATATATAGTGTCTGATAAAAAAACAAAACCCACAATGTCTCCATCTGTCTTTCAGTACTTTTCAACCTCCCTACCCTGTCTGTGGTACTCAGCGCTCTAGGCACATTTGTTCCTTTGTTCATTGTTGGTTTTTGGCTTTTGGGCTTTGCCTTGGTTTTTTCTGCTATTTGTTGACAACAAGAATAATCGAAAAGATCCCAAGACTTTCAAATGTACAACAGTAACTCATGGCTAACATGTATATGTGAACAAAGTAGTTTATTTATTGAAGCTGACAGGGATTGTAGGTGACATGAGAGATGCATTACTTTAATCTCATTGGAAATCAATATTGTATGAAACATTAAAACAAAATGTGGTCGTTCTCCATGCTGGGTCACAAAGGCAGCTGCATAGTTATGTACAAACTGTGACATGGCCACAGCATAAAGCACAAACACACAAACTAGTAGGCATGAATATTTCAACAGATCAATACACACACAACCCCATTACACTCCACTGCACATGTCATGTTACCTTGTAGAGAGCGAAGGTCCTGACAGAGTAGGTGGCCAGCTCCACTGTGTCCAGCAGAGTGACCTGGATGAGGCCGTAGGTCTCTGTGCCCCGCGTTGGCCAGTACTGATCACACTTCACCTACAAGGGGAAGAGGTAAGAAGCTGTGAGAGATGCAGAGCAGTTTGTATATGCCTGTACACATGTTTGTAAAAGGAAAATAAAGAAATATAGCTGACTTTGGTTTGTGTTCTTGTGTACAGAGGCAAAAAGGAAGGGAGTTTTGAAGCTTATCGGTTAGAGTTTTTGAAAACTCAGATAGTAATGTTTGGAAAAAATGTGCATTTTGCGACAACCCAGCGTGTGAAAGCGGTTTTAGTAAGTTTGTGGGGTGAAGAGTGACAGACAGAGAGGCAGGGGAGAGAGTCCTGCATACGTTGTGCTTTAAATACTAGAGAGCTGTACTCCATGAGAATGCCATATGTTGGTGGGCTCTCACATATAGCCAACACAGAGCTGGAAAAATCCACTGACACCTCAAGCTGAGCCTGCACATATTTTATGCTGTACATCAAACTACATTCCAACCTCACACATCCCTACAAAAATACTTCCTGCACAACAAATCCCAGATTCCATGACCACCAAGACACCTAGGATTCCCTTGAATAAATCAGCCATATTTGTAGTTCTTCGCCTCAGCCTCGGAGACCACAGAAAAGATAGGAAAATATCCCAGAGGAGGGCCTTGGCAGAATCAGGCCAAACCAAACGTTATGTGCTGATCCCTCCAGTCCTCACATCAAAGACAGCAGGGAGCTCAGCTCAGCTCGCTCTGCATTCCACTGCTCCAGACTTGGGATTATGCGTTTTGGCCCGGGACGTTCAGCCTGTAATTACAGCTTTTCAACTGTTGTTTTCCCACCAGACCTTGAGACACTATGGGGACAGGACCAGTTGTCCACGTAGGGGGGCCAAACCCTGCCAAACACTGACAGGAATCGCAGTAAATGCCTGTTGTGAAGACTTTATTATTCATCGGTATATTTGCTTAAAGGAAAACTGCCGTGCTCTTGTGTGGTTTGATTGGTGCTAAAAGGAAGGATACTGGCAAGATTCCCACTGTGGGACCATCTGTGATCATCTCTGTTGTTCTGTAATGCGTGAACACATAATGGCGTATTGTTGAGAGGTGTTCAATTAGATTAAATCATTTTCTCCAACAAGCAGCTCAATCCTCGCTCAAACCGTAGATATAGTAGTAGGGGGCTTATAATAAACAGTTAAATACAGTTAAATTGGCTGCTTCTGCTGTTGCATCATGTTGTAACTACCTTATTGAATTGAGAGAATTTAAAGCTTAGCAGTCATTCACAAACTAAAGATGAATCATTTTCATGAGGCAGTGGTGTCACAAGTTAGACACTTCTATTATTGTTTGTTTGGTGGCTCATCTAAACTCTCCTGTCATTTCAGATCCCGCCTTCCTCCAGGCCCTTGTAATCAGCTCACTTCCTTCACCTGGTCTCCCCAGCCCTTCCCCTCACCTGTTACTCATTCCCTCATCACTCCACAGTATTTATACCACCTCACTATCACTTGTCCTTTGCCAGATTGTTGTCGTTTCCGCCAAGCTCTCCAGTGAGTGTTGTGCTCTAGCCTAGATTTTTGTCCTGCCCGGTTTTTGATCCCTGCCTGCCTGTTTACGGATCTTGAGTTCCTGCCTGCTCCCTGTCTGGTTTTGGTTGCCTGTCTGACGGATTTCCTGGTTTTGACCCTGCCTGTCCCTGACCTGAATAAACTGAATATTGCTATACACTGGTTGTATCTGAGTCGTGCTATTGGGTTCTGATCTGTACCTGTGATCATGACAAGTGGCAGCCAACAGCTTACAATTAGGTGATTTGCAGTCCTTCATTATGTACTGAGTCTTTCCTCAATAGCTAAATCCTATCCTGCATAGCCAACAGACAGAAACACAGTTGTGCATGTGATCATGCAAACTGAAGACACTAATGTGCACTGTTTTTGACCTGGAGTGGGTTACAATAAACTACATCTCGGACCAAGTTAACTATGAGTGCCTTTAGGTGAGTTGAAAACAATCCTGCATTCCTACTAAAAAAATTGGCATTAGGAGAACAAGGGTAGAAAACATCAGAAAAAAGGGCACTGAAAAGGGATAAAAGGTAAGGAGAAAACCATGTGAGGTTGCATTTCAAAATGGATTAGCAAAGGAGAGAAAGAGAGGTCTTGCCTTAGAGAAGAAATAAGAGGGCATCTGAGGGTCAAACAGACACAACAGAGACAGTTGGGAAAGGTTGAAAAGGAAACAGAGTTTAACACAAGACACAGGTTAGTAGGAAACGAAGCACAGATGAGAGGAAAGGATCATTTTCCGAACACGGCTCTGGACATAATTGCTTAGCGCTTAATCATGATTCACACCTCAAGCCATTCTTGTTCATTTTATTCTAACATGACATGCTCATTACATTGCATTTTTACTCAAGTGTATATTCTGTTAACAACAGAACAATTCCTTCGAGCTAAATGATTTTCTAATTCATTACCTACCCCTATTTAATTCTTCTTGTAATCCCCCTAGGTCTTGCTCACCATTCTAATCCATTATATTGTACTGTACTCTATTTTGATTAACTACATGCCACCTACATGACGGATTTAATTTCTTACTTTACCACTGCACTTTAAGGTTGGTCATCGTATCGGTTGCTTTTTGGTTTATTTAATAAGGTTATTTTCTGTACTTTATGGCACGTCCTTGTCTTTTGTCTTGCTCCTTTTCTTGGTTATCCTGTTCCTTCCATATCTTAAAAAAGTGTAATGTCCTGCCGTGCCTCATTCCTCCTCACTGCTCTCAAATCAACCATATCCAATCCTATATTCCAGCCTTATTCAACTCTAACCTAACTGTTCTTTATTTCTCTTACTTTACTGTAATTGAACTTTTATGGCCGTGTCTTCTCACCTCTATTCTACTAAATCAAGCTGACTTCTACTTCTTCCACAACCCGTCCTATTCTCTTACACATATTATTTTACCCTTCTGTACCCAAGTCCTCATTTGAACATACTTTTCGCTTTCCTTTCTGAATGACCATCAATCCTATCTCACGCTAACAGTCTTACTCTACACTGCACCTTCTTCACCCTTTACTGTGCTGACTGTGGGATGTCCGGCTGCACTTCACACTACATGTCACTGCTGACACTTCCTCAATCATCTGAAAAGCAGAATGCTGCAAATAAATAATGGATTACATGAACAGCATGTAGCCTACCTAAGCAACTTGCCTGCTGATGTACACTGGCACAGACCGAGGATAAAAAGGTATGCCACGCTTGTCAGGATTTAAAAAATGCAGTAGGAGTACTCCTTTTGAGGTCTTTGGCATTTATTTAAAAAATATAATGTTTCACTTCACAGTTTTTGCTTAAAACATTTTTCTTCGGACATCATTAATATACAGATTCTAATTGCTTTATCCAGTGTGTAGCTAACCTGAACTGGTAATAGTACATGATGACTCGAGGAAATTCTTATATTTATTGACCTTAACCTAGTACATGTATACCTTATACTGTATACCAAATTACCTCACCATACCCAACACAAATGCTTCCTTATGTCTCTCAATTTTTCCCAATGTATTCCACAATGTCTTGTGTTCTGTGCTATCTGTGCAAATCCTACCAAATCATTCGACAAAGAGAAAAACCTACTTAATATTGCATCCTAACATTTACCCAATTTCCAGACTGACCTATCTTCTCCTGCTCCTCCCTATTCTGCCTGATTCTTTTTTATTACATCCCACCTTTCCCTTTTTCTTCTCTCGAAAATCAATATTGTAGTGGCGCAGTGCTGTGCTACCCCTGTCCTTGCTGTCCCATATTCCCATGTTATTCCATCCCTTTATTTCTTACCCGTGATTTCTCTTCCAGCTTGGTCATCATTATAATGTTCGCTGTGTGCTGCTCCCAGACCAACCTCCAGAAATCCCCAAAAGTCTCAGGTAGGGACCCCTGGGTGGCAATATAGGCATTCTGTCGGCGGTAGCCATCAATATAGTTAGCATTGATGTAGTCACTGCCGGGGACACCTGCGTAATGAAGAAAAAGTTGAAGTTAGGGAGAATGTTGAAACAAATGATGTGTGCACTACAAGGTGAGAAGTTGAATGAATTGTGATGAAGGTTGAAGAGAATAAACAGGGGAACATGTGTGTGAAGTTGATGCCACTGATGCTGAAATATACATCAAATGTCTTTCCACTGCATCATATGTATTATGAATGGCATCAGGGTGGAATGTCTCTGCACTGATTACATGAAGATCGTATCTGTCTGTGTAATTTCCTTTACAGATGAACCCGATTCTTACTATGATTTACGGTGAAATAATCTATATGGATTACTTAAAGTCTGCTGCAATGAAATCAGGTTTATGTCTCAGTAATAAAAGGTACAGACCATCTGAGGTCATGGCAGGGAGATTAATGTTTCCACAGGGCCAAGCGTCCTTTGGTGTTGGATTGTTCAGCCGTCTTGTTTTATAATACATGCTAAAACGATCATGGGCCTAATCTGACTACACTCTGGATGTGTCGCTTTGAATGTCAATATGACTGTAAGGCCGTCTCTGTGTAAGACTCAGCTGACACTGCTTGTCCTGGAAGGGATTGTGTATAAGTGTGTGTGAGTGTGTGTGTGATGTGAGAGACCATCTGTGTGTGTTTGATTTAGGATCAGTCCTGCTCATCTGGGGCCTAATACCATAATCCCAAAAATCACTGAGTCACAGCTCAAACATGCACACATACACCAAAACACCAATGCACACACACAGGCATACACACAGACGTGTACGCGTGCATTCAGCCGTGACCCGATTTGGCTGAAGTGGGACCCAAAACTCCTTTTGAATCGTCTAATAGCAGTTTACACTTAGATAGAAGTCAATGAGCAAACAGTAGAATCCTGACAGGAAGAAACTCATGCAGCCGATCTTTTCTCTTGCAGCCTATTGTAAGAGCACGATTCAGTCCCAAAGTAAAAAAACCCACGTCTCGCACACACATGCCTCACACACACGCACGCACACACACGCACGCACACACGCACACACACACACACACACACACACACACACACACACACACACACACACACACACACACACACACACACACACACACACACACACACACACACACACACACACACACACACACACACACACACACACACACCACACACACACACACACACACACACACACACACACAAACAAACAAGCAGACACTTAAATGACAAAGGAGAACGGGGTTTTTACACAATTTATTCTAAATGGGATGAGGACAGACGGTAAGACGAGCTTCTAACATATGTTTATCAACCTCAGTCTATAAAAGACAGCTTTGCTAACTGCTTTGATGTGCTACAACTTTATTGCAAGGGACTACAGCAGAAGCACTGTGCAGATAAAACACACACACACACACACACACACACACACACACACACACACACACACACACACACACACACACACACATACACACACACACACACACACACACACACACACACACACACACACACACATACACACACACACACACACACACACACACACACACACACACACACACACACACACACACACACACACACACACACACACACACACACACACACACACACACACACACACACACACACACTTCCAGTCTCTTGGTGGTTACCCTGGCTTGGCAGAGAGTTCGTGTTCATGCAGCATGTGTGGAGGAGACTGGGAGCAAAAGTGCATATCTGTGCTTGTGCAAATCCTGGGCATGTGTTTTAAATCTATGGAAAAGTGTGTGTATGTGAGTGTGGGTTGTGTGTGACATGCTCAAGAGTATATGTGTTTTCTAAACTGAAAGAAAGATAGACAGCCAGGGCTCCAGGACAGGCGGGGGTGGAAGGACTGCTCACACATGCTCTGCCCAGATAAGGCTCATCGGTTTGGGCTTGGCCTCCCACTGCCTCCCTCTCTCCACTTTCGAGCTGCCAGTTTCTCTGCCTGAGGTCTTTTCGAGCTGAGGTGGGTGAGTGCGCATCAAAACGCACACTGAGAGCAAGACTGAGAGTTTTGTTTTGTTTTAAAAGACCAAATTTAGACGAATGGGCATACCGTGAAAATATATTAGTGAATACATTATTAATAAAATGTGAGCTCATTTATCTCCATTAACATTAAAATGGTGAGAGACCGCATCAAATATATGATTTGGTGGCAATTGCTATCCTGAAATGATATTTTTATGGCTGATGAAGTTAAAGCCCTTTGTGTGAAAATGAGAAATGGCAATGAAATGCTACTTTGGGCTATTAATATCGCATCCGTCATGGATTGCAGCTTTCACACACACACACACACACACACACACACACACACACACACACACACACACACACACACACACACACACACACACCACACACACACACACACACACACACACACACACACACACACACACACACACACACACACACACACACACACACACACACACACACACACACACACACACACACACACATTTTCATTGAACAAATGTAATCCATAGCCTCTGTTTCCAACCCTATCACAACTTCATGCCCAGGCTAAACCTTTGGCCCAATATTAATCCTGAAACCATGTCATAAACCTCCAAAAGCCTGTTTAAAAAGGCCAACATGCTGTCACTTCCTAATAATGACCTGTTTCTTACCCTCAATGCTGGAGAGTATGACTCTGGAGTGATCATAGGCAATGACGTTAGCATAGCGGTTCTTTGGTTTGTTGACCTCCAAGTTGGAGTTCTCCCATGTGAACTGCTGACCGGGGTCGATGGACTACAACACACAAAAGTCAAGGTCAAAGAACAAATAGGAAACATCAACACTATATAACGGAAAGTACCACCGTTAACCTCTGGTATATTTAATTTAATACTGTTATAATATCATGCTATTTCTTAAAATCTCCCTTGAAATTCAGATAATGGCATCTAGAAAAGCCAGAAGCAACTTTAAGCTCACACACATTGTCCAATGTTGCTGCAGAAAAAAACCACAGCATTAGAAACCAAGTACAAATTGAACATTAACAAGGTATTACTGAACTTGAACAGGAATGTCGGCAAATATGATATCCCATTTCAAGAAACACCAGCGATGTAGGGACTTTCCGCTTTCTCTACCAGAGAAAGATGATAAAAGCACAATAAATTCCTCTGGGAGAGAAAGGATGGTTGTGTTAGACCAACACATTAAGTTCCTGGAGGGTAATTACAGTGTAACCATCGCTGTTAGCTGGAAGAAGCAGACATGAGGTCATTATTGGGCTCTCAATGGAGAGGGACGAAGAGGAGAGAGCCAGAGCAATTTAGCAATTGTGAATATTTTACGACACATAATTATGGTTTGGTTAGGGAAAAATGGACCAGAGTGGTACTGGTTGAGTGCATGCGTGTATGTGTGTGTTTGAGACTGCTTTCCGCGCACTGCCCAACATCATGTGTGTCTGATTATTACACCGCAATCATTTCTGGGCTCTCTCTCTCCCTCAGTGCTTCCTCCATCCATCTCTCTCGTTCCCTCGTTGAGGGTTCAGCACCGAACAAAGCACACAGTCATGCAGAGAGAATGCGGGGCTCAACAGAGTGGTTCAACTCACACCACAATTACATACAGATCTCCCTCACTGTCTCTTCCGCCCTCCTTTATCCTTTTCTCCCTAAAAACATCCTCGCTCTGTTTTTCTCCCCTGCATAATGTGTCCTTGTCTTGATTTATATACATATCTCTGTCACCCACAATTTCTCTTTCTCTTGTCTTAGCCAATTCGACCCTTATGCCTGCTTCTTCCCCTAGAGGCCGTCGGTCTAAAATGATTCGATTTTATTGCAAAAATAAAACATTTTAACCCTTTTAATAGCTCTCTGTGGGGTTCATTGCAATGCCAGTACCATTTGCTACACAGTCAGCATGTTGGGTAATATGCTACTGAAGTGTTTTTGTTATTTAGTCCAGCAGTTCAGCACACCAAGTTCAGGCACGTTGTTATCTCTAAGTACATGCCGTTTTGTCCCAAATTAACTGTGCGAAAAGTTGAAGAGAACTAATCAGAAATTATTTTTTTAATAGAGAACACTGACTTCATGTATCTCTTGGTGGGTGTTCTCTCTCCAAAGCAAACTCTTTATTTCTATCTCTTCCTCTACCAGAGCGTAGAAATAAGTGCTAGATAACCATCTGGCTGTAAGCAAACTCTCTTCGAGCCTGCAATTTCAATTTCCCCCTTATATTTGTAAAGATACCGACAAGGAAAGGAAAATGTGTGTTATCTTGTATCGTTCAATGAGGATGAATCAAAGTGCATCTTAACTTTGGACACTACATGAGGCAACAATAAATATGTGTTTGATTGCATCAAAACCAGATGAATTCACCAAGTTGAAAGATATTCAGGGACACATAATCAGCATTCCTACCTCGTACTCTTGGGAGAACTTGAGATTGTCGTTTGCCTTGAGGCGCTCAGTGTGATCTGCCAGCTCAGAGATGGGGACAGGCGGGTGACTTGCCATGCCTGCCGTGCAGAAAAAAAGAAAAAGAGGCCTTTTAGATACATGTACAAAAAAAGTTTGGGGAGGAAAATGTTAAGAGCAAGGATTCTCAGAGGTGGTGTTGTTTAGTGTTCTGTCCACAGTCAGCAGAGGAAGCAAATGGAGGTGTTTTTTTGTGTTAAGTGACCATTTTCTCTCCGGGCGGACAGAGAGAACAATGTGCGTGTTCTGAAAGTTACTGAGGCACAATAACATGTCCTCAGAGTGAATGCACACGGCTGGTGAAGACAAAAAAAGACTGTGACACAGGCGGTTAAACATTTAGCATGAAGATCTTTTTAGGGTTTCAAAAAGAAATATTCCAGAGGCATTTTGATGAAATGTCGTCAATTCAAGCAGCTTCATCCTATATGGGATGGAAGGTTAGTTAGCCTGAACATGGGAGAGAAAGTAGAAAAGAAAGAAAGAAAGAAAGTAGAGATAGATTGAAATAAAGAAAGAGATCAAATGAATACGGTAATATGGAAAACAATGACAGCAGAAAGAAGATCTATGATCTATAGAGGACTAAGACCAACTAACTTGACAAACGGCGATAACCGCGGTACACTGATACACGGTAGGCTGAAAAGGGAAACAACACCACAGTTAATCTTATAAAAACAACTAATATGTCACACATCTATCTCCAACCAGTGTCAGTATGTGTATAGAGATATCTCTAGTTTACCTGGAGTCTGGAAGTTGATTCTGCGTAGCTCTACAGGATCAGTGGGATTGTGGGACGACATGGCTTTGCTGCAGGGGAAACTGGCTTTCCTGCCTTCAGCCTCGGCCCTTTTCCTGGAACAACAGATCAACACGCAGCATTAACATGTACCTCAAGCTGATGAATTGAAACCTTTTACTGCATAACATCTTATTGTAATCTTACACATAACCTCAAATTATTGGGGGATTTGTGTCTTTTCCAGAAATATTGGAATAACTGTGATTCTCAGAACGTTTCCGTATCAACTTAGCCTAAACTCTAGTTGACTGCTGGTTTAGCGTGGCTGCTTTTTCATATGACTATTACTTTGCTTGTTGTCTGGAAAGGAGGAAGATACTTTTTTTCACACATACACACACACACACACTCCCAGGAATTAAAAGTAACATATACTTGATTCTTTTTATGCTAAAATCACCGACATGAACAAACTCAGGGAGAGCATTTGTCTATGTCTTTTACTCGGAATAATTGTTGCTTTTATGCCTTCTTTCTTTTTATTCAGTGCAGGTAACTATAAAATCATCTAAGAAACATCAAGGTAATCCTGACTCTACTGGGATCCATTATCCAAAGCATTCTTTGCAAAGGCTTTTCAAGGAAAACACCCCTGTAGGACAGAGGAAATGGTAATAGGCAGTGTTTGTTTACCTGTCAGGTTTGCTGGATCCAAACAGGGAGAAGAGGAGATAAAAGGACAGACAAGGATGAATAAGATTAGTGTCCAATCAGAAAAACATCAGGGACTGAGGCTGATTTCATCGTTCTCTCATTAAAACTCATCACTTTCAATGTAGATACATTAATTGCACCTCCTATAGACACAGAGATGACAGCAAATCTAAATGACAAAAACTCTTCCTCTGATTTCATAAAACACTGCATACATATTTACACAGCCTATTACTGTGACATCTACTTTATAATGTATCATACTAATAATATGTTGCAGCTCCTGAGACATTAATAGCTGTTTACACTTTAGGGCTTATGAACTTTAGAATATTACCATAAAGGTTAATACTTTTGCAATACCACAGTCACAGCAATTATGTATGTGCAGTAACAAAGCTCCATCCAGCAGAACAGATGATTATCATGAATAACACTAATGAGTGCTAATGGTATTTCCCCCTATCTGTTTTGTGAGCACAATTTGCTCCCTGTACACAGATTTTAAGAACAAATGATTAAAGAAACATGCAATTAAATGCACATAACAATTAGTAAACAAACCGATAGGGAAGTTAATTGTGTCGCCTGCAGCAACGCAGGAAAGCAATAAATAAACCTTAATGTTTGTTTCATAAATAGTGGAAACACATAATGAAACAGCTGGGCTTTGTTCAGTCTCGGCTCGATTCTGAGGTAAATCTAAATGTTTTGCCGATAGTTCAGGTGTAGGTCCAAACTATTTACCCATTAAAGCAGAGGTTTCTAAGGGGGTTTGAAGGAAGAATAACAAGAATAGTGATACAAATAAATGAATATGAACCTTGTCAATGTATCCGAGTCAATACCTTTTGACATTAGAGTAGACTGGAGGTGTTGGGGGGCACACTTGTCTTATTTTTTTATCTCATTGGGGGCCCACACTGTCAGACTTTGAAAAACTCTGCCCTAAAGCAATATTCCAGACAACTTCAGTTTAGGGAAGGATAATACATTGTCTGAGAGATAACTGACATCATTATTTGTTCATGACCTTACTCTGTCGAAGGTGATTCACAAACTGCTGATTAAGATGGAACAGTCTAACTACAGGTAATTAATATATTAAAATATTAATAAAACATATATTCGTTACCCAAAAATATTTTAATATTTTTAGTTGAATACACAGAGGAGCCAAAAACAAGTAAATCCCAGTAGAGTATCTGTTGCCCTTGAAGACATAAGCTAACTTTGTAATAATTTTTCTTATCTCGTATTCACAAGAACATTTAATCCTTCACCCTGTCTCTTTTGAATCCCATTGCTCCTTCTCTCATCAATCACAATCATTTATTAAACCATGTTTTACATCTTCCTTCCTCCATGATGCGGTCTTTACCTCTTGAAGAGGAGAATGGCGATGACGATGCAGACGATGAAGATGACAGCCAACACAGGCCCAACCACCCATAGTAGACCCTCTTCCTCGTCAACGATTGGCTGAGGGTCCACATCCGATGAGGTCACAGGATCCGAATAGGGGCTGGTGGAGTACATAGTCTGGAGGAAAGCATGGTTTTATGCGTTAATAAAATTGCATTTATAAAAAACTGCATTTAGATGATTGAACTGCGGGGGGGGGTTTGTGTTTTCACTCACGTTCTCAGAGAGGTCAAGCAGCGCAAGCACAAAGAAAACATATTCCTGTCCGTTCTGCAGTGGCCGGTTCCGGAAGTCACCGTAGTTTTGGCCATCTCCTAGTGTGAACTCCAGGGGGAGGGTCTTAAAATGAGCACTGACATAAGCTCTAGGTTCTGATTGGCCAGCCTGTCTGCGGATGCGGAGGGCTCGACTGACACTGGTCCTGTTGATCTCTTTCAGGAGCTAAACGGGAAGACAGGGTTAAACAGAGGAGAGGGATGAAGTCAAGATAATTGATACAAACTTTGAAAGTTTAACAACAAGGTGATAAATGACATGAAATGGGGAAATAACACATTCCTATATAAAAAAATGTGCAAACAATTACAATTTTAGCAATTTCCCCTCACACAAAAACCCTCATCAGTGGAGGAACAATGGGCTGTAAAGAGCTTTATCACCTTAGCACAAATGCCTTCATCATCAACTAAATTGCGATTGCATTTATCTATTGAGACAGTCCGACACATAAAACCTCTATTGAAACATGAATGTGCTTTCATAACAGCTTAATGGAGCGAGGAAGTCTTTAGAAAAAGGCAGGAAGTGAAATGAGATGGAAAATATAATGCAAAAGTATTGTTTGGATTAAACAGAACAATGGATGGCCAGGTCATCACCTTTGCATAATAAGACACAAATGATCTGATAAATAGAGTGGAAAAAACCCTGCCAGTAAACTCAGCATTATTCTCTGGTGTCCTGTTGGTGAAAATACTTTATTTATCCCTCGAGGGAAATTTTAAAATGTTGCAAGCAAATGTACAAATAGACTTCATTTACACACGCATTCAAAAAAACAACTAAGGCTTAATGGTATTGACCTGTCCATAGCTGGCACATCAAATCCAACACCAACAAGGCATAAGTCAACAATGTCATAATCACATTACCCAGTTAATCATCATTACCCCCCCTCAACATTAGCATTACCTTATAATAGGTTCTTTAATATGATAATTATTTAGCTGTTTATTAAAATAACCTCCTGTCTGCTGCATGTCTCACCTCATCCAGGTTCATCTGGTCGGGCTCCTCCCAGGGATTCAGGAACTTCCCTGCTCTCTGCTTCTTCAGCGGCACCACCACCACATAGTAACCCCTAAAACACAGCAGGTTCAGGTTTAAGGACAGTCTCATATTTACTGTACAAAACTGTCACTTTTCCATGAAAACAACAGATGTCTATTTTGTATTTTCATTTTCTTTATCAGTTTCTTTTTATTCTCATTTGAGATGTATAAACCTCTTATTATGTATTAATTTTACTTCTCTATTGATCTTCTTATTGCTGTCCTTTTGCTGCAAGAACACATGTACCCACTGGGGATCCATGATAAGGGTTTATCTTATCTAATCTTCAAACTTACCGACACACATGAGAGTGGAATTGATTTTGCTGTCTAACTCTCAGAAGGAAAGTGAATACAGATGGTTCCCAAAATAATATGCTTCAAAGGGAGTATTGTATCATTAATACAGTATATAATGCAGCAAGAGCAGCAGCTGTGACACCACACTCTAAATCTAAACAGTGTGGCTGTTTTTGGAACAGAGGGCCATGTCTGAACAATAATACCACTAGGGTCGGGGAAAGAAGTCAGAACATAAGCAGACGCCAAGCGATGAGGGCACTGACACCAAACTCATATGTGTCCTCAGATGACTCACTGCAGTGCTCTATGCTACTACGTCGAGTGGTACAGTAAAGAAGCTTATTTATGTATGTTTGTTATAGCTGTAATGCAAGCAAGATTAAATGAATTGTGCTTAAAAATATATATAAAATAATATGGCATTTTTTGGCAAATTTGGGAGGTAATAGATTTAGGTCAATATGATCATCTTCACCAAATAAAAAAAGTGTTTGCAGATGTTTTTTACAGTGTGTATTACTATCTTGAATCAAGGCATCTGAAAGGGGAAAGACTCTTGTTTCTGTAAAGAGCAAAATGCTGTTTGGGACTCCAAGAATCCCCCGAACACTTCTGATGTACGAGAACAACCTGCAGGAAAGTGGCTTTAAGAACATGTTCTGTAGCAGTGGAGAGAATCAGGTTGTGCTTTAAGGCTCAAGGACTGCTTCCACGTGATATCTATATTTGTTATTGGTTATACAAAAAGAGAGATGAGATTATCAGCTTTGTGCTTTCATTTGGCCTGTTGTGGGAGTTCTCAGACTTGCTTTGCTGCCAGCTCAGAGAAATCCCCTGCGATGGACCAATAAATGAAAAGCAGCAGTAGGACGAACAAGTGAAATTGGAGTATATTCTGCAAGGCCTACTATTAAATAATACTCCCATTTAATCATTATATTATAAAATAATTTCCCCTCTCACTCTCTTACTCTCATTCATCATCACTACCTGACTTTGGAGGTGGTCTGCACAGTGGGCAGCTGCACTGTCACCATGCCGTCAGCGTTGGTCTTTCCCACCACCATAGGTTTGGTTTTCAGGATGTCTGGGGCGGTGGTGACGGTGACGCGGTGCTGCAGCCCCCCCGCACTGTTGGCCCGGTTAGTGAGTAAAAAGGAGTATTGCGTGTCTGGTTCCAAGCCAGTGATCAGCTTCTGGGTCAGCTTCCCAT